CGAACTCCATCCTGCAACTACAACCGCCCTCTGCGGGCAGGCCTCCCTAGTATCGGGGTTCAATCCTGGACCTCCAGGATTTTTATGCTTCCCTCTTTACTAGCACGACACAACCTGCTCTTCAGGCGGCTTCCCCAGAGAAGATTATAACCGATTCAACAGCCCCGCATCCATCCCTCTCAACCCTTACCATGGTGGCGTCGGCACCAGCGGAAAAAAAAAAGGGACCGGAAAAGGCTGCTGACGCGCAAAGAACTATGGGAACGAAAGAATGAGCCCGGGAAAAGGAAACCCGGGCAATTCTACCTCTCTATGGTAATGTTAAGACCGCGCACGTAACGTAAGGCAGATGTAGAGCGACATTCCTTTGTTAAGAAACCAAGCTTCCGGGTTAACTTTCTGATTTATTACATCTCGTTAGAGAGATAAGTAACCGTTCGATGCCGGATGAAAACTTAATTTATGATCGATGAGCCTGACTGTGTTGCTTTCATTGAAACTTTATGGGATGAACCTACATGCATATCACCCTTTTTTGGAAAAGCAACAATCAAAAAAGCAGAAAAGGTATAAGACATAGTAACCCGCCTTCCCAATTAAAGCTAGGAAAGGAAAGGGAAATAAATAATTAAAATCTATTTTTCTGTCTTCTCTATTTTCATTGTAAGAGAACAACTATGTTAATATACTATAGCCAAAAATCAAAATGGATTTTCAGACAAATATTCTAAAAAGATCTAATATTTTTTAAGTAACCCCCCTCCCTCTCTGTATCTCTTCCTCTCTGTGTCTATGTTTACCTAAACATACCTAAGCATTGCAGATTTCTGTAGTTTTCCAGAATATGATAAATTCTAATTCCACCATGATAGCCTTGGTCTTCTCTTTCATCTTCAAAAATGTATTTTTCCAATTACATAATTCATGCTCTTTTTTTTTTATCACCACCAAACCACTTGCTGTACTCCTTTTGATTTAGAGTAGGTTCATTCAGCATTCATTCACTCATTCTGACTGTTATACTTCTTACACATCTCATTTACCTGGCTTTCAACTTACTTTTATATTTCTGCCATACACCAGGTTGTTACTTTCAGATAAAGCAGGCAAAAGCATGAGTTTATATTTATTTCCTGCCTTTATTTTTTTTATAAATAGCAAAGCAGCAAACACACACATAGGGCTGCTTCACTCCTGCGTTAAGGCTCTGACCATCGCTTTGCCATGTTCCCCAGCTAAGGAACTCTTCAGCTGAGTGCAGTGGGTGTGAGCTCCAGCCCAGGAGGCAGCAGGAGGCGAAAGCTGCTTTGAGCACAAATGTTGCACGAAGGCAAGAACAGAGTCGCTTTGCTCCTGCACTAAGGCTCTGACAACCCTCCTCTTCCTCCTCGCCCTTCTCTCGTGAACCCCTGGCTGGCTGTCACAGGGCTGGGAGGGCATGCACGAGCAGGGAGATCCTCTTCAAGCGAATGGCCGGGCTCGGCCAAAGTGCAGCAAAGGTGTGAGGGGCAGGCAGGTTGACCTGCTGATGAGCGTCTTTGGCAAGGGTGCTCTGGCTTTCTCCAAGCCTGACCCCTGGGGTGGGTGTGCGAGGTTCAGTGGGGCCAGCCCCCTTTTCCCACTGCCCTGAGCTTCTTAAAGCCACAGCTGGGTGCTGCAGACCCATCCCCCTTTCCATCGTTCCATCCTCCCAGATTCCATTCCCACCCTGCCAGCCCTCGTGTTAGTGAGGCTGGCGCTGGTCGCAGCCAGGTCGAGCCAGTGTCTTGGGGTGGAGAGCAGGTTGCACGTCTCCCCAAGCACCGGAGGCACGCCCAGGACCAAGGGCTGGAAGAAGCTCCAGAAAAAGATGAGGTGCTGGAGAATCAGCCCCGACCACTTCTCCATCCCTTGCCGTCACCCTTATCTTCTCAAGCGAGGAGTGACTGGGAGGGGAGGGTGAGGGGTGGGGCAGGGTCAGCCAGTGGTGGGTTCAGCCAACGGAGCCACAACAGAGAGCCCAAAGAGTTGCATGTGGCTCCGGAGCCGTGGGTTGCTGACACCCGCACTAGACCAAACTGACTCTCATTAGACATATTCATTAGATACAGCCATCTGTCTTTCTTTCAACACTGACTATTTGCAACAGGGCCCATAATACCCACCACTTTTCTATCACCACATTCCTTTAAGTCAGTGATGGGTTTCTATCGGTTCGCCCCGGTGAACCAGTAATGGAGGTGGCGGAAGGCTCCGCCCACCCACCCGGACATCATCACAGACGCTCTGCACATGAACAGAAGGTTCTGTGCATGTGTAGATGGGCCACGAGCGAAGCAAACGCGTGCGTGCTCCCGATTCCAAACCAGTAGTGAAGGTAAGTGGAACCCACTACTGCTTTAAGTATTAATGGTGATATATGAGTATTATGCCTCTAAGATTTGTTAGTCAGCAGTTGCCTGTTCCATCACCTGATCTTTAGTACGCCTAATTTCTGTTGTTTGTCTTGACAATATATCTTTTCCTTGGTGTTCAGTGTTGTTTTAAGTGCCCTTGTTGCTATGTGCATGCATGACTGACTTCTGTGAATAAAATATTTATTTACCATCCGGAATTACTTGATTGTGAATTCATCAGCCTAGATAATGGGATAGATATGTGTTCTAGTCCCACCTTAAGGTACAAACCAGCTGAGTAAGATTGGGCTAGTCATTTTCTCTCATTTCTAGGAAGCAGGCAAGGGCAAGCCACTTCTAAAAAACCTTGCCAAAAAAACTGCAGGGACTTGTCCAGGAAGTCTCTGAGAATTGGGCACAGTTGAACAGAAGAAAAAAAAAGGTTATGGGCCCCTCCAGTTTACTAAGCCTATATATATTTTTAGTTGTGATCTTATACTGTAATTATTATACAAATTGTAGATGTTTTACAAGTGATGTATCAATGTTATTGAGGTATTGTGTTGCACATAGGTACATGCAAAATAAAAACACATCTTATGGTATGAGTCTGTTAACACATTAAATACAGAAGAAGTGTTTTTTTATTCATGCAGGCCTGAAAATCAGGTATAAAAGAAATACAGTATCTAGAATTATATTTATCCTAAAGTGTAGGCTATATTTTCCTTTGGAGTAGTGAATAGCCTAGTATTTCTAGAAAAACTTCAAAGTCTTCTAAATTGCTTTCAACAGATTATTTTTGGTTTTAATACTATTATAGGTATACACAGGTAGTCCTCATTTAGCGACTATTCAACTACAACAGCGATGAAAAAGTAATTTTGCTATCCGTCCTCATATTTACAATCTTTGTAGGTCTGTAAAATAAGGGAAAGCTGAAATAAAATTACAAGCACGGTTGTGATTTCACTTATTGACTGCTCTGCTTAAATCCAGAATGCAGCTGCACGGGTTGTTACAGGAGCCCCTCGTTACTCCCATAAAACAACTCTCCTGCGTGAGCTGCACTGGTTACCAGTGGTTCTCCAGGTCCGCTTCAAGGTGCTGGTTCTCACTTATAAGGCCCTACATGACTTAGGTCCGGGATATTTGCAGGACCTTCTCCTGCCTGCCTCTCACCGTCCTGTTCGCTCACATAGCGCTGCTCTCCTCAGGGTTCCGACGGCGAGCCAATGTTGTCTGGCGGCGCCCAGCGGTAGGACGTTCTCTGTGGGTGCTCCCACCCTCTGGAATGAGTTGCCTACTGAGCTCCGGACGGCTCCTGATCTCCGCTCCTTCCGTTGGGACCTGAAGACTTGGCTGTTCAAGCAAATAGGCTGACTCTGATTCTGGGTTTTATTATTTATTAGTTAATTTGGTTTAAAATGGGATTTTGTTGTACATGTTTTTAACTTGTGTTCGCCGCCCTGAGTCCTTCTGGAGAAAGGCAGCATATAAATACATGAAATAAATAAATAATAAAGACCAAGTTGCCAGTCTCAATTCTGGTTTCTAAAAAGCATTACCTGCATATGTATATAAACAAATTTATTGCATACCACTTAGTAATAGAGTTGAAAGGGACCTTGGAGGTCATCTAGTCCAACCCCCTGCCCATGCAGGAGACCAGTACTAGGGATTCGAACTGCCGACCTTTCTGATGGACAAGCTCAGTGTCTTAGCCACTAAGCCACCTAGTCAGCCACCTTTTCTACTTTTCCATTTTCTGTTGAGTGTATAACAATATGAATATGAGGTTGTATATTGTATATTTGTAATTGATTATATGGGAATTTCGGAGTGAAAGTCTTCTCATAAGCGGCTCTTTAGTATCTGTTGGAAGGAAAAAAAAGGAGCCTTTCCCTTTAAGGATTGTTGTAAGACAGAATTTCCCCTTCCTGAATTCAAAACTCCAGGCTGGGAGATAACTTCGAAATGATTGGAGGTCAGCTGCTTAAGAGTAGAATCAGTTTATTGTTTCTAGGAAGGCAGGCAAGAAATAAATGCAAGCACAGCGTTCCGAGGCTAGCCTGTCTTAACTGTTAAGAGTAACCCTTTTTTATATCCTAAAAACATCTTTTGATTTTCTATGTGACCCTTTTAAAGTCTTTTGATTTGGCATGTGAATTCTTTGATTTGTGTGTGTGATTGTTTTATGGTGTTTAAATCCTGTTTGTTTGTGATTAGGTTCTGGTTTATGTGTGCAATTGTTTTATGGTGTTAAATCCTGTTTTTGTTTGTGATTAGGTTCTTCCATCCTGGATCTGGCAAATAAGTAATTGTTTTATAGTCCACTGTTTTTCCTAGCCCTTTGTAGTTGTTTATTTCCTATAATTATTCAGTTTGCTATTTCTGTGAATATCTCTTTTTTCCTCATGTGTTTAAATTACTTTGGCTTGATTTATTTTCCCTTTTTTGAGTGTTTGTTTTCCTTTCCTGTGTCCCACATCTGTTTGGATGTTGCAGGCCCCTGTAATTTTCTTCCTTTGTTTTGGAAAATAAGGTGGCTTAATGGCCCATTGGTAAAGGTGGGGGCTGAAACTCTGCCTGAGTTTCTGCGTATTTTCTTTAGGGGAATTTCCCTGCTCTTTTAATATTGAGTTTCTCATATCTTCCAACATATCTAAGCTGAAAGCAGCCAATCAAGGCTTGCGTTCCCATAAGAAAAATTCCAGGTGAAGGTGCCACGTTTTGCCCATATCCAAAATGGATGACGCTACGTGACGCATGCAGAAGTTTCCCTGACTAAATGTTTACGCTAGGCTAGGGAATGGGCTGTGGAGGATGAAATTGCCCTGATCCAAAATGGCCGCCACCGCATCCTTCTTCTCGAGACGGAATCTGCGTTCTTTTCACCTATTAAAAGATGGCAGTCCTGGAGGAAGCTGGAAATTTCTCTCTCCCTTGGCGTTGCCCAAAGCTCAAATTGCCCCTCTCCCCTCAGCAAAACCTATCATCGCTGAAAAAAACAACCTCCTCCGCTAGAACTTTTAAGAACTCAACGTTCCATTGTAACTTGAGCCCCTTCGTTGGTGCCCGTCCCTTAATTAAGATGGCTACTTTATACCCGCGCTGTCGTCAAAGATGGCAAAACCACCCACCAATGTACGAGGAGGGAGCCGTTGAAGGGCGGGACTGCCACGGTTTGCTGACCTCTGATAGGTCGGGAGAAAGCTTTCCCCACCCCGTTGCTCATGTTTCCCCAGGTAGAAAAGAACACTTCCCGGTATAGCATGCAAGGCAATGTTTGCAGATGAGCAACTCAGTGCAGAGGCAAGAACTGGGTTTGGGAAGCGGGAAGAAGAGTTGGGGCTGAGCAAAGGGAGGGATAGCGTGGAAAGAAGTGTGGGAGAGGTCCTGAAGACTGGAGGATGTCAGGGGTGGGGAGACCTTGAGAAGTGCTTCTCCTCCTTTCCCCCCCTCTCCTCCCCACTGATTCCTACGTAAGGTCATCTGGCTTTTTGGAGAAAGCATACCCGGTGAGAAGGGAATAGTCCTTTCCGGGGGGGGGGTTATCTCAAATGTCCTTCCCCCTCCCAGCATAAATGTATATTTCTCTGTGTGTATAACAATGGTAAGCTCTGTTGCCTTCCTCCTTTTTTTTTTCTTCTTTTTCTAAATAGCTTTGTAAGACGATTCCCCTCTTCTCCCCTTTTATGATGACACTCTCTTGCAAACATTTGTGAGAAGCTATTTTTTTTTTCTAAGCCTTGGGATTGAAAACAGTTGGGCTAAACCGGCAAACCGGGGGTGCCTTAATAAAAGTACTTTATTTTCGCTTGCCGCTAGTTGAAGGGTGGGTAGGAGGGTGTCCCTGCATTCTTTCCAAACTCAACTTTTTATTTGTTTGTTTGTATTTTTCTTTCTCTTTCATTCCTGAGTGTCACCTAAATAGATCAATATTTTGTTTAATTTTTAACTGACGTTCTTTTCCCTTCTCTGAAGTTTTGGGCGAATCAGACTTCTAATAATAAAATCTTAAAGGGAAGGGAAACAATATGCTTTGTGGTCAGCTAGTTTGATCAGATTTTTACAGGTTGGACAGCTTCCTAGTTAAATATTTAAACACCTTATCTAGAGGGGGACTTTATCATGCGAAAAACAAGATTTTCTACATATGTTTCTGAAGAAGCATCTGTTTTGCTAAGAAAAGCCTCTTTTCAAACTTATTAACCCTAGTGTTATACCAAACCTGTAATGAGTCAGACAGGTCTGTGTTCATTCCTCTAGAATTTGGATGACATTTTTCAGAAAAGTTGAAATACGTGCATATCTGTATTTCTCCACTTGTTTCCTTTCCTTGCTCAAAAGTTTCTTGCTCAATAAAAGAGCAATTAACTCTGGAAAATGCTTAAGAAGCTCTAGTGAGAAAGCAAGTTTTTTGGTGAGAGGAAGTTGCATTGGCTGCCCAGCTGACTTAAGGAAAATCTGTGCTAATGGAAAGGTTTTTAAATCCTGCTTTTCAAATCTAGGGTGCTGGGAGGAGTGTTGAAAAAGGAGGTTAAGTAGTGGTGGGTTGGAACCAGCTGTTTGACAGATATAAAGCACAACTGTAAAGCTGGGGTTCCATGACAAGATGAACCTGGTACTGAAGCCTTGTCGAGAAGGTTCCGAGGCCATCCTCCATGGGGAGTTTGGAGCCTACCCGCATAAGGGGATCCGCTATGCCCTCAGCCTCACCCGGATTGAATTGCATATCCAGCGGCTAGTACCCAAGCCAGACACTGATCAACGGACTGTGATACGGCTGATAGATGTGGTAGGTTGCCATACGCTGCGAAGCCATACAGCAGCAAACCAGTCAGCATTCTTCTGCATCTATGCCTACCCACTGAAGAAAAAAAAGGTAGCAGTGGGCTCAGGAAGGGCCCGGCAACGGATTGCAAAGACCTTTCAAGTGGACGGAGCAGAGCGCTACAAGGACAACCAGGCTCTGGCCGAAAAATGGGCAGCTGCCATCAAGTGCCTAGTGCTGGGGATTCCAATTTCCAGTGAAACAGGTAAGGGGTTGTCCTGCATTGGGGAGTATTGCTTCTCACCTAGACAGATGGCAGATGCTATCTGTTTCTATGCGGTGGTGTTCCTTCAACTGTATTGTTGTCGGACTGCCAGTCTTATGTGTGCTTCTGTGTTTATCACTTTAAAAAAAAAAAAAAACAACAATCACCTTATTGGGAGAGAATTCATAACAGGTTCTTATTCTGATTGGATGATTTTCTGGAAGATAAAGAATAAAAGTGTGTATGTGCTTTAAATGTAGGATAGCCCCGAGAGTGGTTCAGCAGTGAGATGAGTTCCATATAAATTTAATAAATACAATATTGTTGTGCAGGCCTTCCACATAATTTTATGAGATATCCGAAAAACTGAACATCAACTTAGAGTATGCCTGCCAGCAGAAGTGTCAATCTTTAGTTAAAAAAGTCAAAATTAATTAGTACAAGCTCTCATGACCCAGAGAATATAAAATTCCTATTTCTGTTCTTAGAACATGTTGCTAACCCTTTTCCTTCAGTTCCTTTCTAAATTATCTTTGCATCATACCTGCTGCAAAATTATTAATTATCAATATTTTTTATAATTTTATTGTAATCTTACTTTCAAATTGCTGGGATTTTAGATTAATCTCCGATCTACAAATACATATGATATAGGATTGCCCTGGGAAGATGCAAACTCATATTTCAGGGTGTTGCTAGCTTTTGAAATGTTTGGTAAATTGAGATGGAAGCAAGTTATGGCTTTTCTAATAAGTATAGCATATTTGAATAAAATTATTGCTGCATTGACCTGTCTTTATTTAATGGAAGGCAACTCCCATCAGAATTTAAAGGTAGTGAAGCTGAACCTCGGATTACATTGTATTAGACCTGCTTCCCCCTGAGCAGTTTTGACAGCTGAAATTGTCACGTTTCTCTGCAATTATGTTTTTAAAACCTTCCATTATTACTGTTGTCTGCTAGAAGTAAGAGAATATATGCCTCTCTGTTTTTCCTTTTATCATATAAACAGCCTAAAGGCATGTTTTGCTAACTGAATGAACTTTCTGTTTAAAATGTGAACATAAATGTCCTGGGAATTATGGAGTCAAATGTTGCAATGGCTTCATGTCCCACACTCAAGTGTGTTTAACTTGCAATTTGTGTAAATGGAAAATGGAAGAAGATCCAGATGAACAACTTGCTTACAAGCTGCAGCTCTGAATTCAAGTGTGTTGAATTCAGTTCTGTAATTTCCAATCAGCATAGCAACTCTAAAAAATACAGAATATATTATGTTAGATTAAATAATATCAGACTGATAGTGATTCTTTACTGTGTATTCTTATTTATCAGCACCATATATAAGAGGTTATTTAATATATAACAGAGGGGAAGGAACAGTCAAATAGAAGAGAGGTAGTCCTCGATTTACAGCCGGTCAGTCAGCAAACATTTGAAGTTAAACATGGTCTCCCAAAAGATACTTACAATCCAGTTCCAGTGGCTGCTGTCCCTATGACCCCATTTTGGGCACTCAGCGACCAGCCCACATTTTTAGCCAATTGTGACACCCCCAATCAGTTGACTGCAATTTATTACATTTTTACTAAAATCCAACATTTCTGGCTTTCAGCAAAAACACCCCATAGCAAACAATGGGTTTGCTTAATGACCATGGCAATTGTTTTATGATCACTGCAAAAAAGAGTTGTGAAATTGTGTTGGTTATGTGATGACCCACTTTACAACAATGATGAGTGTAATTGGCAGACTTAGTTGTGGTAGTAAATCAAGGACTACCCCATAAATGGCGCATAAAATTAAAAGTTATGAAGGCGTGAGTATTGGCTACAGCAGCACAAATGTCAAACTCGCCACATCGCTTGACATTTTGCAGTGTTTTTCCCCTTCGCGGAGCTGGTGTGGGCGTGGCCTGTGCGTGACGCATAAGACCCGGGGCCTACCAGTTTGACATTCCTGGGCTACAGAATAAAAGTATTGATGTGGGTCAATAGTAATAGTTGAATTATTATTTGAGTTAGAGCTGTGCACCTGAAATTACAAAAGTTCAAGGAGGAGATTTTAAAGCTTCTAGCTCCAAGAGGAGATTGCATGCTTTAAATACCTTTATCAAAAGGAATAAAAAAAAATCCTGCCCCAGGTGGCCTCTATGGATCTCAGAGAGAGTGCTAACAACCAGATGACTGCAAATAAATATAATCCTTCCATCCCCTTCCCACCATCCTGTCACAACTGATGCAGCTTTTTGGATGAGAAGCAAAACTACTTCTTCCTCAAGGAAAAAACAGCTCAGTTGCCTTTTGAAAAAAAGCACCTTTGAGATAGCTATGACCTGGATGGCTGAGAATCTCCATAGATTATTGCCTCCAAGTGGCTGAGTTTTTAACCCAGGGGTCCTCAAACTTGGCAGCTTTAAGACTTGTGGACTTCAACTTCCAGAATTCTCCAGCTAGCATAGCTGGCTGGAGAATTCTGGGAGTTGAAGTCCATAAGTCTTAAAGCTGCCAAGTTTGAGGACCCCTGTTCTAACCTCTAAACCAGGGTGAACAACTGTGGCCCCTTTATGACCTCTGGACTTCAACTCCCAGAATCCCTGAGGCAGTGTGGCTGGCTCAGGAATTCTGGGAGTTGAAGTCTACAGATTGTAAAGGGGCCACAGTTGCCTATCGCTGTCTAATCAGAGCCTGTTCATGGCAAGTTCAAATGTTCCCCGAGACTTCACAGTTCACAACGTGCTGTTTAGCTTAGCAGTGCCTGATTCAGCTCTAGCTAAAACGAGTGGGTGGCTTCTATTTTTTTAAGGACGAAGAACATACAAATACAGCATCCTGGCTTCCTTTTGCATCTGGCTTTGCACATTCCACAAAGAAGTCAGGAATCAGCTGACTGCAAGAAGAATTCTCAAGAACCAAGTCAAAATAATTGCTGTTCCATAAGATGCAGTACTTTTTGTACAGAACTGTATGCCCTCCTAGAAGTGCTTGCTTTCAGAGTTTGTGTACCAGGAGAAAGAGCAGGCTTTCTAAATGATGATGATGCATTAAACACAGACAGCTGTACCAGCAATTAAAAAACTGAAGAGAAAGTGCTGAACACTGCATAGGAGGGACAGTATTAAAAGGGAACTTGTCAGAAAGCGCACACTCTTCCCCCATTCATTTTAATTCAAAAGGAATTTCCGTATGATGCATTAGCATTTACCCATTGCTGGTGGGTAGCTGAATGCATTTGCTGCTAGAAGATTTATATGATTAATTGCTTTTATGGTGTGGTTAGTGGTTTTGTGGAAGAAGGGTGGCCTAGGGAGAGGGGACTAAACCATGCAGGTTTCCTCCTTACTGTGTGATACAGGATTTGTGCTTCGGGTGCTTCCTTCAAACGATGCTAAACAACTTTTATTGTTTAGCTTATGAATTTTCATTCACTCTCCAGATTCTTAGACTTGTTTGGTTAGACAATGTTGCTCTGTTCTTCTCATCCAGAAGATTTTGTGGGACAGGATAAAAACTAAAGGATTGTGTTCGATATATCATTTCCATTGATAGGAAATCTGTCAGCTCTGCTTTTGTACCAATGGTATGTTTTTCAGATGAAGTAAAAAAAAAAAAAACTGAAGAATTTCAGCTGCTCAGTCCAGTTGGAAAAGGTCTATGGAGGATAAGAATGAGGAGAAAAAGCAGTACTTTAATAGTCAGTTGGTATTTTTTCTGTATATGTAATCAAAACACAAATGAACCCTGAGGGCAGGTGTCCCCCTAAGCTAAAATCTGTACAGCAAAACATACAAAAGAAGCTGTATTGGTAGATACATTTTATATGTCAAGAATATAGACCGGATTACGTGATGACACAACTTTGTTGAAGCTTGACAATGGAAAGCTACCTTGGAACACCTGTGTATGCTGAAAGAAAAAAGTCCTATAAATCATTACTTACAAAGTGCCAAATAACTCAACCTTATAATTATAGCATTATAATGATGGAAACCCTGTTATGCTACAGTGCTTAGAATATTGTATATAACATTCTGCCATCGAAGTTCCAGTATATAGGGGAGGAATCATTTGAGAACCATTTCTATCCTGATACTCTCCATTGTGTACACACACACACACACACACACACACACACACACACACAGAGAGAGAGAGAGAGAGAGAGAGACAGGCATGCACACACAGAGAGACTACTAATAAGTCTCCACATGGGTTCCCATAATCATGGTAAAGCATAAGAGATGATGTAAGTCCTCAACACTGCACAACTGGTATCTAAGCCCCATACTGGAGACTTAACTCCCAAAAGATTAGAACAGTGATCTCCAAACTTCTAAGCAATTTCTAAGACTTGTGGACTTCAACTCCCAGAATTCCTCAAGTCCACAAGTCTTAAAAGTTGCCAAGTTTGAAGACCCCTGGCTTAGAACACAGGGCTGTTGTCTCTCATCTCCTTGGTTAACAACAATAATTGGGACTGACATTTCCATCGCGCAGTGATGCAGTTGTAAATCACACCATCGCGTGACCGCATCGCTTAGCGATAGCAATTTTGGCATTCCCTATTGCGGTTGTTAAGCAAGGATTGCAGATCATTAAGAAAGTCTTCAATGGTTTGCATGCAGGCCAGCAAGCAGGTAATGGCTGCTGTCAGGCAAGGGAAGAGGCGAGGTAGCCAGCAACGGGTTGGGAGGCTGAGGGCGACTGCTGCCAAGTATGGGAGAATGCAAGCAACCTGTTGGAACAGCCTGTGACTTTCCCTTCTGGCTTCTCCATTGACTGAGTGGGAAGGTTGCACAAATGATTGTGGGATGCTGCAACTGTCATAAGTGCAAGCCAGTTGCCACATGCCTAGATGGCAATTATGTGACCACTGGATCTGTTGGAACACTTTGAAGACTCTTCATAACTACAACTTGTAGTTGTGTACCATCATAACTTTGAGCAGTCACTAAACGAACGGTCATTAAATGAGTACTATCTGTACTTACGGAGCATAAAGCTGAACTTTGGTGGAAGGGCGTGTTGGCACCTCCTCTCTCTCATCTCCAGACACACAACACAAGGATCGTTCTTGATCTTTGTGTGGCATGCAGAGAAATAGCAGAGGCCAGCAGGAAAGATGTGGGGATTGCCAGCATGAAGAGAAAACGGAATTTAAATTCAGTTGTATTTAATCATATTGTCTATGGGGATCGGTATAATTAAATAGTCTCTATATAATACATGGGGATAGTTCAGTTACTTGAGTGGGATCGAGCTGATTGCACTCAATTCTATGCATTATTGATGGAATTCTCCTCATAGTCTCCAGAAGAGTTTCCATTTCTGTCACATTAAGAGCTACTAGTTGCTGCCAACTTTTGAAGGGTTTGCATCTGTTGTGCATCTTCTGTCCTTGGAAGAATTACTGAATCCTTAGGTATTGATCTATAAAATGCTTTGCCCTTGCTTTGTATATTGTGCCTTTAGAGCAGGGGTTTCCAACCTTGGCAACTTTAAGACTTGTGGATTTCAACTCCCAAAGCAAAGCTGACTGACGAACTCTGGGAGTTGAAGTCCACAAGTCTTAAAGTTGCCAAGGTTGGAGACCCCTACTTTAGAGAGTTTCTTTGTGGGTTCAGGGACAGTGTCATTTGGGCTGCAATGTTATCCAGACCCATTGGCCTATCAGCCTAGGCAAGAGAGGGTGATGACAATTTATATGGAGGGGGCATTTGGGAAAAAGAAACCAGAACTGTTGTTCGGCTGTGCATATCATATAAAGTAGAGAGTGGTAGAACCCACAATTTTTTCCGAGTAGGAACTGCCCTTCATTAAATAAAATTGCTGGTGTATTGAGGAGGGTGTAAACGTGTAAAATTACAGGTAGACCTTGACTCACAATAAACAATTAAGCCCAAAATTTCTATTGCTAAGCAAGACAGTAAAGTGAGTTTTGCCCCATTTTATGACCTTTCTTGCCATAGTTGTTAAGTGAATCACTGCAGTTGTTAACTTAGCAACACAATTGTTAAGCGAATCTGGCTTCTCTATTGACTTTGCCTGTCAGAAGGTCACAAAAGGTGATATTTATGCAACTGTCATAAATATGAGTCAGTTGCCAAGTGGCCGAATTTCATTACATGTCCATGGAGATGCTGTAAAGGTTGTAAGTGTGAAAAATGATGGTAAGCCGCTTTTTTCAGTACTGTTGTAACTTCCAGTGGTCACTAAATGAATAGTTCAAAGACAAAAGCCACTTGTATAGAAGTGAAGCATCTTGAAGCATGTCTCATCAGCTTGTGAGAGAGCAACAAAAAGTGTGTTGCATGAAAATTGCTTAGCTAGTGAGTTTCAGCGGCATTCTTTGGGCATGCGGTGTAGTTTAGTAGGATTTGTGTTCTGTAACAGATAAAAGCTTTGTTTAGTAAAATACCATGATAAGGAATAAAATTATTGCAGGAAATAGCTGCTTGGTTTGTCTTTCTGCTTAGCTTAGATGTACTTGGATGTGTGAATCCTCTCATCCTTGTTCCTACTGTAGGATTTTACCCTCATTTGATCCAGATTATTTCTACTCCTGCCCCTCACCTCCATCCCATTTATTTCTTATATCTTGGTGATAAAGCTGCCCAGCTGCTCACTTCTTGTGAGATGGGTAGCCATGTAAATGTGATTAATAAATCAATAAAAATAAAGCTCATTCAGTCAGAACCAGGTTTCTGGGGATTCCTTCATCCTTATACAAAATATCTAATGAAATTTCTTCAGGTATCCAGAAGGTGAGATACCAGTGACTGAGAAGAAGTCATTGAACTTTTATGTTATCTCATGTTCCTGGACTTTGCCTCAGATCTTTATTGTAGCTCCTCTGCTTTTGAACATCTGCATGAATCAGCTGAACATTATCTGGAAGTTTGAGTCCAGTTGTCTTCAGTTCTTTTTTATGGACTTTGTATTTTAGGATATTGCCCTGTGACTTAATTCTAGTAATGTTGTGTAAACCATCTTTTGAGGTCCTACAAATATATCAGATAAATCTTGAATTAAATACTAAATAAATTTTGAATTAAATAATACCACAACAGAGTCGTGATGGCACAGTGGTTACAATGCAGCATTGCAGGCTAATTCTGCCAACTGCCAGCAGTTCGATTCTGACTGACTCAAGGTTGACTCAGCCTTCCATCCTTCCAAGGTTGATAAAATGAGGACTCAGATTGTTGGGGGCAATATGCTGCTTTTATAAATCGCTTAGAGAGTGCTGTAAAGCACCGTGAAGCAGCAGATACCATGTTTCCCTGAAAAAAAGACCCGGTGTTATATTTTTTTGCCCCCAAAAAAGGCATCGAGTCTTATTTTTTGGGAATGTCTTCCACTGACTAACTTCACGGCGGCAGCACCAGCAGCCCAGCAGGATCCCGTGTAGCTGTTGCCAGCCCACTTCTTCTGCGGCTGCTTGCCACCACTCGCACATGTCGCCCCCCAGCCTCTGTTTTTCCGTCCGAGGCCTTCAGGACAGAGCCTGGGTGGCCGCTGCCGGCCTATTTCTTCTGCGACCACTTGCCTCCGCTTGCGCACATCACCCCCGGCCTCTGTTTTGCTGCCAGAGGCCTTCAGGAAAGGCCTCTGCAGACAAGAAACGAGCTCCAGATTGATGTGCACGTCAATCCAGAGCTCTTTTATCGGCTGCAGAGGCCTTTCCTGAGGGTCTCTGATGGCAAAATGGAGGTTGGGAGTGCAGCGGCAAGCAGCCGTAGAAGTGGACCAGCAAGCGAGGCAGGTGTCAGGGTGTGCAAGCTGCAACTGTCCAAAGGTAAGCAGCTCCACCACCACCCATCCCCACCCTTGCTTGATTTTTAACCCGTGCACCTTGCCCCACCCCATGCAACCAGGTGCAACAGAGTGGGCAAGGACTTAACCAGGGCTTATTTTGGAGATAGGGCTTATATTGGCCGCACGTGTAAAAAATCAAGCTAGGTCTTATTTTCAGGATAGGTCTTATTTTCGGGAAAACATGGTACGTTTAAGTACTATTGTTATGGGATTTATTGGTCAAAGAAACTACAAATGTAGTTAGGAGCATTTTATTCCTTGTTAATGATCCCTCAGGTCTTCCCATCTCCTTCAAAGCAGCGCCCACAGTCCTTTGTCAGAAATGGTCCCAAGATAGGGAAAATGTGGATCCCTTTTTGCAATGGGACAGTTCCTCCTGCTCCTCTCTTCTATTGGCTTCCTTCTGGAGGGCAGCTAAAGGATATTATTTGCTACTTACATTGTGATTTCTGTTCATGTACAGGTAGTCCTCTAGTTCATTTAGTGACCATTTAAAAGTTACAACGGCACTGAAAAAAGTAACTTAAGACCATTTTTCACACTTACGATCGTTGTAACATCCCCATGGTCACATGATTTACATTTGGATGCTTGACAATTGGCTCATATTTATGACACCTGCAGTGTCCCAGGGTCATGTGACCATATTTTGCAATTCTTCTGACAGGCAAAGTCAGTGGGGAAGCCAGATTCACTTAATTTACTTTACTAGTTGTTACTTTATTTAACAACTGCAGTGATTCTTTTTTTTAAAAAAATCAAGCTTCATTGGTCCCCCCCCACATTCACCCACATCTTTTTTTTTTGTTTATTGAAAAAGTTTTTCAAATACAA